CGTATTCCTACACATGTACGGCATGGGTGGCTGCATATGGATACGCGCCAGTGTTCATTTTGATGCCTAATCAAAGATCTATAGGTCAGTTCAAGACACAGTACACTCCACGAAATCTACAATAAATTTTAGCACTAGTTCTGATGTAGAAACTATGAAACATCACAATTTTGAGGCAGATTTCTCAACTTCAGTTTTTGCTAACTTTGACATGTAGGTACAAGCTTTTGTCCGATGCGATTTCTTTTCAAGAACTGTAATTAAGGAGATTAATCATTCATAATAGGAGCAGAGGCAGTGCCCTGTCGCTGTGTGAGAGAGCAGTCATTGTTAAAAAGAGCTTTAAACAGAGAAACAAAAACTACAGAACTGGCATTTTAACCTCAGTTTACCATCTTCCAATGTCCATTAGCAGAACCAGCATTACAAAAAGGGAATATCCATGTTTATATTCTGGAGAATATAATTCTAATTTCTAAAGACTACCAGCATTTTGGATATTTTATGGTGAGCCGAGATTGAAGCTGAAATTGAGCAGCACTACAATGTATTCAGCCTTCGTGTCATCTGCCAAGACCTGCGCTCTGTCTTCCTCCAAGACTTAACGTTGCTTCTGTATTTAGTGAATGTTCAGGCCCCTTACAGTGACTCATTTCAAAAATATTTGACAAGCAATAATTCCAGTGACTTAACTTGGTAGTTTTGTAGTCATTTGGGGATAGGCTCAAACGCATGTAAAGTTCTTACTGTTCTCAGAGAGCTACTGTGTTACTAAACCATTCACAGGTACCCATGTCCTAATGCAGCAGTCTCTCCCAGCTGCACTCGGAAGAGGTGGTCAACAACCACGTCAAGGCCGCAGAGAAGGCACACGTATGCAAAGCCACCAGCTGACTGGAAAGATGTTTTAGACTCCGAAATGACTCATAAGTTTGAAAACTAAAACTAGGTTTACGGAAACTAACAAAACTACAAAAAAACAAGGTGTTTTTGCTGCCTTCAAAAAAGGCAAAAAGACAAGATTTGTGACATGCTTGAATAAAACGCAGAGCTGCTTTCACATCTCTGTTTTCCCTGACTTCTCATTTAGAACCATACTAATGTTGAAAATAGCTAACTTCAAATCTTCTTCACCAAGCAAGAAGATTTGCTTTTCTTCCCCAGAGAAAAGTGTTGATGTCTGCGCAGCCAAGTTGCGCTTGGTGTTTATAAGAGATTTGGATTTTTTTTTTTTTAGTCTCTGACTTAACAGTCAAAACAAATAAAGCCAAAAATGACCAGATCTAGTCTCAGAATCATTTTCGCACTACATCTTCAGACAAATGTGCACAGGAATTGGAACTCTTTTTGGTTTGCAGAAACATGTCAACATTTTTCATTACATCTTTTCCCTTTCTGTCAAGTCTTTTCTTCTGGCCAGGCAGATTTAAAGAGGACCGTCTTTTCCGGCTTGCTTTTTGTCTGCTCAGAGGATCTATAGCTTCGATTCTGCACCAAAGGCTGTCACTCATTTTATTAGTCTAAGGCTTTCTTGTTCAATAATGTCAATTCCAAGCTGCCAACACTGATCTGGAGGAGCTCCTCCTCAATGAACACCCCCAAAGCAACCACGTGCTTCATGAAAACTTTCCTCCATCATTTTCAACGTCATAATCTTAGAAACACTCTCAGCTTACTTTGGAGACGACAGCAACACGGCTTGCCGATTCAGTTGCATGTTTCAGGGCAGCTAACAGAGTTTGCGACTGTCTCTAAGTTTTGACAGAAGCTTGATGTCTTGTTAAAAGCGAGGGGCCTACAACAGTACCGCTCATTTATTCCTTACTCTGTTACCGAAATGTTAAACTCTTATCTATAGGGAAAAATGGCACTTATGTGAAATTGTGTCTCAGAACAACTCTGCTCTCTCTGGAACATGTCAGAGAGAAAAAGAAAAAAAAAACCTCCAATGAAACTTAGAGACATGCACTTTGTGTCACGGTTAAAGCAAAGCATTGCTTTTTTAAGTAAAAGAGATGTGAAATTCTCTACTTTTCCTCTTTTTCTTCTTCGTTTTTTGTGGCCCTCCTCTCCCAAAGCGATTAAATTGCTGATTGATTTTTGTATCTCGGCTCGATTCCTTGCCCCTCGCTCTCCGTCTCTTGCCATTGATCCTCACAAGGCTGCTGACTCCAAAGTCAGAGGACCCATCCGCTCTGGCCTCCGGAAATGAACTTGTTAGATGGGCTGTGCGATTTATTGCTCATGAGGCCGGGGTGTCTCTTTGTGAATGTGTAAGAGTCTATAGGGGCTGACTGTGAGTGAATGCGTGCGTGTGTGTGCGCGCGCGTGTGTGCGTGTGTGTTGCGATGTTGCTTTCACAGGGCCTGGGATTTATTGCATGTCTGCATTTCTCAGAGTCTGTGCACAAGACCAAGTGCGCGTGCACGTGTAGCAACGTGTGGAATTTACATCAGTGTGAGCACCAAGGTATCATGTATGTCTAACTTGCTGGGTGTTTTACCTTCAGTGTAAAGATTTTAACCCTAAGTGACTGCATTTATTGTCGTTTTACCTTTTTTGTTTTTTGTAAAACCAACCGGTGTTGAAGTTTACAATTCAAAAAGCAGAGTTATAGATTTTGCTGAAGTCTTGTTTGAAAGCCTTCTGCTGACGCTGGATGATGTCAGCTCTACCTCGCGTTCTGAGGCGCACTGTTCACTGATCTGCCCAGCCTGCCTGCACGTGGCGTCAGACCCAGCTCTGTCCTCTGCTGCAGCCTCCACTGATGTATTGATTGGGTTCCATTTAAAAGCCCTGTTCTCCCAGCGTTATTTACTCCAATAGTAAATCTTTACAATGCCGTAAAGGACTGTTTTACACACTCTGGTTATACAATGTCCTGCCGCAAGGAACAGACAGACGTGTGTCAGGAGAAGAGAGAAGTAGAGAAGCGACAGGACCTCCAAAGAGCACCATAAGGTGTTACAGAACCTTAGAGGATACTCTGAACGAAGGATGTCTCTTCTGTCAACTTTAATAACCTCTCTGTCGTGCTTTACAACTAATACTTGTGTTTGTGGCTTAGCGTCTTCACTTGCCGATTGGAGGTCTGCAGAAAGTAATCTTATTTACCTCCATTTTGAATATCCACATTGTCATCAAAACACAATGCCTTGCAAATATTTTAAATACCACTTTGACTTGTCCGCATGTTGCCACAATGCAACCACATGCCTGAGTGATGTACAGAGATTTCTTGATAGGCCAACTCAAATTAGTGCATTGAAGTAGAACATGTCCATTGTAGACAGTTTTAAAGGTTTTATACAAATGCCAATCTGAAAAGTGTGGCATGTGCTTGTGTTCAGCCCCTATAAGTGAATACTTGACATTTTTCCTAATTTGTCTTTGTAAAACAGCCCAGCTGTCCCTCCAGTGAACTTCACTTCAAATGAAGCCTTGCTAACAAATCGCCATATTTAATCTAAACCCTTCTATTTTAGCTCTGGCTGAATATAAAGGGTCATTGTTGCTATATAAGATAAATTAAAGTCTTTTGCAAACTCTAACAAGCTTTTTTTTTTTTTAGGATATCTGACCAGCTTTGAAGTCCAAACTCAAGAAAAGCATCTCCACAGCATGATGCTGCCATCACCGTGTTTCTCCATAATAACGGACTAAACAGTTGACGTGCGGTACGAATTATCTACACTCTCTACAGGTAAATTCTGGTCTCATCTGACCAGAGAAACTTCTTCCACATATTCACTGTGCTTCTTATGGCAAACTTCAAACAAGACCTTCAAGAAAAATATATCTTTTAAAGGTACCTTGAGAAGACTTTTATATATAAATAACATAAAGTGAATTGACTTGAACCAGTTCAATTCCAGTTTTGCCCCACTGCAGGCAAAAGTGACTTTCCTCTTTGTATGAGCCTGGATCTAATTCTGTTGACATTTCCTTCATGGAGCAGTCATATTTACAAATTGCACACATGGACTCCATTTACCAGTCCTGACTGCGATTTGATGCGCTGAATTTTATTTCAAGGTCTTGAGTACAGAGAGCTAGAAACACATGGATGCCACACTTTTCAGAATTTTATTTATGAACATTTTGGAGACCACGTCTCACTGCTGCCGCGCGTCACAAATACCTACTGCCTTGCGCTGTTCAATCACATGAAACTGCAATAAAATACTTTGAAGTTTACGGTTGAAAACGTGACAACATGCAAAAGAGCTCAAGAGATGTAAGCAACTTAGCAGGTTATTTATTGTCTTTGGTATAATTGTATATTTGAAGAAGAATGATACACTTTCAAGAGAGCACTTATGCAAAAATGTATGTGAAGACGTCAAGCCCAAGCTTTGACAGGTGCACTTCAGAGGTCACTGTGCATCAGCGTAAATCCTTCCACTTGGATGTTGCTGGGGTCTTTATTTCATTAGAGGACTTATGCTAGCAATTCTGATCTCCACTGCCCACTGCGGGCCTTTAGCCTGACCCAGACACACACTGCTATCGGCCGCATGGCCAAATCACACCAGCAGTAATAATCACTTAATTTAGGAGCAGAAAGGTGGGCCACGCTCTGCCTTTATTGGTGTTGATGCCGAGCAGGCTTCAAAAAGCCACTGGGCCCGTGATTTATCTCTCTCTCTCTCTCTCTCTCTCTCTCTCTCTCTCTCTCTCTGTGGACCCAGAGAGTTTCAGGAACACAGTGAGGAAGACGTGGAGCGTAAATGAGTGTGAGGGAGAGGAAGGGTTGGAGTATGTGTCTTCCAGTGGGAGTTTAATAGTAGTTGGCTGTTGACTTTGGTGTACTTATTCTTTGATGTCAGTAACATGATCATCAAGGATCTCTTCCCTCAGCCCCCCTGCAGTAAGCTTTGCGCTGGCAGCAGAACATTCCACCTCACAAACTCCTCCAAGTTGAACTTGGCGGTCCAAATCATCCACTGCTGGTAGGGCTCGCTTGGGAAATCCAAGCTGAAATGTATACTTAAAAAAAGATCATTTGGAATAAACAATAAATAATTCAGGAGATGAGTTAAATAAGTAATAGTGTGATATCTATTTCTTTGGTGGCACTATTGCCTTGCTTTACTTATTAATGGACTTAATAGACACCATGCCTCGCCATGAAGGGCAAAGTCTAAGAAGCCCACAGTGAGTCTCTTGAAGTGAGTACTTAAAGGAAAGAGAAAGTTGCAGCTTTCTTCATCTTGCCCTGTTTTGTCCGTCTTTGGGAAGTGTTGAGACGTGGAGTACAGTCCAGAATATTTAATGTTTTTTTGGGGGGGAGGAGGGGGGAGTATTAAAAAAAAAAAATTATTATGAAGTGACATGAGCCAGCTGTGGGGATCCTGAATCCTCAATTCATACAACAAAACTCCCCTGTCCAGAATATCCTCCGTGCTCCAAAAATACCCTCCCCCGTAACATCCACCCTTCTCAGGGAGCAGATAGAATATCTTTCTCCATATCTGGCAACCATGACCACAAATTAAGACGGAGCTTCTGTAAAGCTTGTGTAGCTCTGGGATTTATGAGCCCCCAAAAGGAAACAGAAACTTTTCAAATTTTAATTCTGCGTGGGTGTGAACACTTTCGGTCCGCAGATAACTGTGATACTACGGCTTTCTTAAGCCGTCCCAGACCGAAGCGTTTCCTGAAACAGGAACGTTGGGAAGAATCCAGCCACACACTGTAACACCTCTGAGCCGAAAGGAAAAAAAATAAAAAATTGCTCCTGCAGTGGCTGTCAAGTGACTCATCGTTTCTTTTTTTTTCTTTTTTTTTTTTACAGTTCTGCAACCTGTTCACGTGTCGACTTTAAAATGCCTAATTGCAACAAGCAAAATGACAGGTAAGCTCACTCAAAGTCAGCCACAAGCCACAAAAAAAGTAAAAGTATCATTATGACCGTCTAATGGGCTCCCCTTCCTGCAATTCTCGGGTTAATACACAGAGAACGTTGCAGCTGGCAGGGAACTGAGGTGGGTGGGCTTAATGGTTTGTTGTTCGAGTGTTGACACCTTCTAATAAGTTGACAAATGTGTGCTTTAGTGGCCAGTCAACAACTTGCTAATATACGGCTAAAACACTTTCTTGTGCTGCTGCAGAAGGACTGAGGCAATGCAGGCTTTGCAGAGCAGCAGGAGTATTTCAGCAGACGGATGGACGGGAGCGCGCCGTCCTCCTGAAACACGGCCGACCGCAGCCAGAGGTTGTAAATCTGGCCGTGTCTGAACTTCAGCGCTGCGCGAGCATGCACCTGAACGCACCGTGCACTGCAATGCTGCAGTCTGGACCGGACAACAAACAACGCTGCACAAGCATGTTGATCAAATCCTAATTTTAATGTCAGCATTTTTTTTTTTCTTTTTGTTTATTTCACTCCAAACACATGCAGCTATATGTGTTCACAAGAGTGTGTTCCAGTGTGCAGGGCTATATTTAGGAGGATGTGGACCCCCCGAGCTAGAGCCGGTTTTGGCACCCTACCCACACACACACTTCTTTTACCCATGCAAATTTCAGCAGACTGAAAGCTAGGGACACACCAACTGCATCACTTCTTCAACTATTATAGCAACAATGTCAAACCTGTATTGGGCCACATAATGCATCAAAAGCGAAGCAAGAAATGTGGAGCATGTGCATGTGCGTGAGAGTATGAGGAAAAATCAAACAATCCAACTTTTAAGGATGGTCTGTGTCATTTCTACTGTTCCAACCACCAGAAGGTGAAAGTCCTGAAAGCAGAATTTAGGAAGGGATAACTGGAACCCAAATAACACACTGAACATTTGACCGGCGATGTTCATTTCACCATATTTGCAAAGTAGTTTCATGTAATCTATCATTTTTGCTTTGTGGCAGCACAATTACCTTGCAGCAATGAGGTCCTGGGGGTTTTCTACATGGACGTTCTCTATGTGGGTTTTCATTGCTTTTTGTGTTGCTATGGGCCTCAACAACAAAAAAAAAAGACAATTCACACCATAATCTTATTTCACATAGGGCTGAGTTAGTTTTGTTTGTAGTTTTTTTCAGTTTACTTTTCTTGATTCTTGTTCACTTTTCAAACTTATAGTTTACTAAGCAGAATATAACGTATTTTCCCATGGGTGTTTTTTTTTTTTTTTTTTTCTGGTAGCTTCAATTTTCAACAAAAGCTGTAGGTGGAGTCAGGTCATCTGTATTCTAAAGAGTCTTCAGTGCTAACATGCAAGGACGTCCACTTCCTCACTCCCTCACACATTCCTCACCTGATGCTTTGGGTGCAGAGAGGATAAAAAATATAGCCATGTCTCCCCCCTCTGGCCTGTGACTGCTGGAGACGAGGACGCCTTTCGCCTCCCATTTCCCCTGGTCCACAGGAGGCCCATCTCCACACAACTGCAGACCCATCTGTCTGCAGTTGGGTCTGCATCTGTCCCGCATGGCTAACTGGGCTCCTGTGTATTCACCGCTGCCGAGAAACAGAGAAGCAAAAGGGGTCGAGGGGTGGAGGTGGTGGTGGGGGTTTCAGGATCCAACATCTGGGAGCCATCAAGCCAAAAGAGCCTCAGATCCTGAGATTCCAGTCTCCGACCGCTCTCTCTCTCTCTCTCCTCAAGCCCCTAACTCCCCCCACTCCCCCTCCATACTACCTTTCCTCTCCATCTGTCTCCCTCCTTCACCTCTCCTTCCCCCTCCTCCTCTTCCTCTGCTCCTCTCGTCCCAGCTGCCCATCATTTCCCTGTCTCCTCGGCAGTGGGCCTAATCCAAACAGATTGTCTAACTGTTCCAAAAACATACTCCCTTTTCTAAGTCCACTCCCCTCCACCCCTCCGCGCTGCCCCCTTTTTGTCCTGCGTTCATCCCCGGGAACAGGCTCTCTCTTTCATGGTGGAGGAGCTGCCGGTGTCCGTCTGGTCTAGGTTAGCAGGTTACTGCTCCACATGACAATTTCAAGGAGAATAACCTAACTGGGCCCCAAAGCTCTTTGACAGATCCCCGATTTAATACTCAAGCACCATACATTACGCACCGTCTAACCCTCTCTGCTCCCTCTCCCTTCTTTCTTAACTGTATAGGAATGGCTGCAGCTGTGTGTGTGTCTGCGTGTGCATGGTTCAGAGCTCTTTTGTCTCAAGCACATAGTCCAGGCCAGCCTCCTAATTTCCACATGCTAGTGCTAGGTTAAGGAGAGATCCCCAGTAGGGTGCTTGGAAGCAGAGAGGTATCCCAGGAGACCACCAGGCCCCCTGCTGGGTAGCCCGCCTACATCTGAGGCTCCCCATGCCACTGCTGGGTGAACTCCTGCATACTGTGTTTTGTTTAGAAGGAAGCGCCATCCCTATTTACCATAATTGAATTAAAAGGATTAACATGGTTCCAGTGTTGCTCACATCTGTGTTCTCTGTGATTCCAGCTCCTTCCTCATGTCTTGCCGTTCTTAAAGAAAAATAAAAATAAATAAATAAATAAATAAATAAAAAGAGGCAGTTTTTTCAGCTGCACAGGAAATGCAAGATGAGAAGTGAATGTGAGATTTAATGTAATTAAAAAAACACATAATTAGAGGGCACAAAATAATCCAAATGATGTTTATTTGCTGTTGATACGGTATGTTAGGTTGTGCTGCACTAAAATCTGCCAATTAAAGGGGGTCATAATGCTCTCAATGTTTACATTAAGGTCCAAAGAACGAAAAAAAAATGAATTGCAGTAAAAATGAATGCTGGAGTAAAAGTCCCTTTGTTGACTTTAGCCTGAACATGTAGCTGTTATCCCAATTGGATAGTGACAGAGGGTCATAGGAGCAGCTGCCTGCAGATCAGAGGCTGGATTAATTGTTGACACTCTCCCAGTCCAAACAGAACCCTCACTACCCCCATTATACACACACACACACACACACACACATGGGCACAAGCACACACATAGTGTCCCAACTACACTGAGGCCTTGACAGACACTTTGATTTATGTCTGGCCACCAACAAAAAAAGAGAACAAAATCAATTGGCTATTACCGCACTTAGCACCGGGCTGTCACCACCTGGGAGTAGGGTGTTGAAAATAAAAGACAGAGTCCATACAGCATGTCTATACCACTCCATATACTCATTCCCACCGGGGGAGACAGATCAGTGCTCAATCTCCATATACACAGCCTCCAAACTGACTCTGCGTAACAGTTGTACTCAGTGGGTGGGGGGTTCGGCTGTAGCCCGGAGGTCAGGAGAGCTGGCTTGGGACTTCAGTGTTGACGGTCGGAGTTGCCAGACAAGCTAGAAAACGGTGGCTGGAAGTAGTAGTAACCACAAAAAAAAAAAAAAAAACGAGCAAGGCTCCAAGTTTCATCTGGCCAGCTGAGGAGTCAAGAGGCTGTGGTGTGACATTTGCAGGTTTCTGTGACTTTAACTAGGAGACGCACTGATGTCAGAATTTAAAGCTGGAAAATGTCGATTTTTGCTACCCTCAGTTTAAAATTTTTAAGAACTTCAACATATGAAGCTAAAAGAACAGCAGTGTTTGCTAGCCCTATGGTTGTGAGCAGTCACTAATTATCCATTTTAGAAGCAGCGGTGAGGTCACCCCATTTAGCTTCTTTCAGGATTCCAAGTTCTCACTCTTCTTAAGTAAGACGTAAGCTTTTCCTCTACTTTTGGAGTACCAGAGTGTAAAGTCTACATACACATAATTGCAGATGACGGTATTTGTTCCCAACTGGTCGGGGCTGTCTGACCCAGCCGACCCTATGTAATAAGCAGAACGAATATTTGAAAATCAGGAACACTTCTTAAAAGCAACCCTGACCCACACCTCAGTCTCAATCTAAGCTCTAAACAGCAATAAAAGAAGGCAACAACTGGTGTACATGAAGAGTTATCAGGATTAGTAAGATTACTAGATGGAAACATCACTCTTTATAAATATGCTAAAGACCGTGAATATTCACCTCAACTCTGAGATATCCACACTGGCATTGTAAATGAGAGCTAGTTCTCCGTCATCTCACCTGGCTAAATAAAGGTTAAAGAAATAAATGGTTGACATCTCAAAAGGATAATGCAGAGTCACTCTCTTCTGCTTTGTTCATCCTCCCTGTTGGCTTCTGCAAGTATTGCTCTCTCTCGCTGTCCTGCAGCCTGAATAAATCACTGAACTGTCATAAAAGATACCAATGCTTTTTATATAGCTTATATATACTTGTCTATTCTTCCTCTGACTTCATTTTAAACACCGCCGTAAGACCGAGAGCAGCTAACTTGGAGTCTTCATCCCTCAGTAACAGCCTCCATGACAAAGGCTGCCAGTGCAACCCAGTCGAGCTTAAAAATGGTGCTTCTGCCTATTGGAAAACATTTGAATTTGAGTTTCCAAGTGGCCAGTCACCAGTCAGTGTTGCTCAAGCCAAGTATCAGCAAATTCCAATCATTTTGTGGCGCGTTGCGTTTAATCGGAACAGTTGCATTTATTTAAACAGCAAGGTGCTGTTTAAATAAATGCAAGATGAAATTTTTAATGTTACTAAATCCTGTTTGTGCGAAAACTTTAGAAATTGTTTTATCAATTTTCACGTTGGCTTTTAATCCTCTCAGCGTTAAGGAACAAAACTGGATTGTACTCTTGTGCAACTTATTTTTATTGCAAGCTATGATGTAATATATATTTAGCTGTGATAAGGTTACCTGAAGCACTCTCTGATAATGTTAACTGCACCCCTTCACCTTGCCTTGACCCTGATGTCCTACACATTTAAAATTGCCCTTGTCTATTCAGGCCTTTCATTCCCAGTGGAAGCTATTCTCGACATGCATCATGCAAGCAAGGATATTTTTATGGTAAGACTTTATGGAGCAGGATGTAAGGAGGTAGGGGGTTGAAGCATCGAAGGAGGATAGATATACGATTTTGTTACACTGCAGGATTCAGACACAGAGGAACACTGTTAGACACAAAGAAGCGAATTAAAGAAAAGAAGCAAGAGAGAGTGAAACAAAGTTGCAAACTGCGACAGCTATTTGCTCCCTCGCTGCATAGGCGCTCCAAATGCAGCGCAGTTGTCGGCTCGTCCCTCACGACTAGCAAAGAAGCCGTGTCTGACCCAACAACTGCGTGTCTGCCAAAAGGAATGCAGGCCAGGGTCAGCGGCTGAGGCCTCAAGCCTCTGAGGGGCTATTCTGAGAGCAAGAGCTCATCGCTTGTTCTAACCCTATACTCCCGTCTTGTGACTGTGGTCAAAAATGGGCCCATGCGCTCACTGATACTCAAACACACACACACACATATACGCACAAAGACATTCAGAGGAGACAAAACTTCAGAAAACAGAAGGGTGGGAACAAGCAGAAGCATCACGTATTTTTCATATAACATTCTTGACATCGGGGCCTATATGCTTAGATGGGTGTGGGTTTCGATGCAAAAGACATTTGCTGCAAGGGTGTTGTGAAAGCAGGAAAAACTGTAGTAGCTCGGTCACAATGTGCAAATTGTCTCTGCGTCCGTCTTCGATTCCAAGTTCCAGCCCGCTGACCATATGCCGTAATCACAGTGTATTTAGCTTTATCTTTAGAGAGCTGGCATTCATGACTCTTCTTTATGACACTTTAAAC